TCAGCCCCGGAGTTCCGCATGGTCACCCCTTTCAGAAACGTGGTGACTTGGGTCAGGCAGTCCAAACCCATTGGTGGAATCTTGCTCTCATTGGCCAAGGAGAGTGGTGGAAGAGAGCCCACCACTTCAATGGCTGTGGTGATGACATCGTTGCAGAGGTTGATTCCTGGACCGGCTGGAGGAAGCGTCCAGCTTTGCCTGAGCAAAGCGAACAGCAAGCTAAGACCAGTTCGCACGCCCATCTCGATGAGGGCGTCTGTACTAGAGCGCGGCCTCTCGTTAACTGCTTGTAAGTCTGCAGAACCCAGAGTATTTTCAGTCGAGTGCTGTTGCTGTTTAACCTTGCCCTTGTCATGGTATTTGTTGGAAAGTGCATAAAAAACCCGCTGCAAGACGAGCAGGCGTTTACGTAGCGCAGTGGCGAAGGGTGAGTCCGAGCACACTGTCTTGGCCAGAGCCAGCTGACTGGCCAGCAGCGCGTCAAGATAATGCTCCTGTTCATCACTGGACAGACACTCTCGCTCAAAGTCCGGCAGTTGTGGGCCCTTCAAACATAGCACCTGCTGAGGGAGAAGAACCACCTCCTTATTGACCAGCAGCTTGCCATACAGCAGAGCGACGCCTTCACGGGTGGAGATGGACTCGCTATCCTCAGCAATCCAGGAGCTGTTGAGATGCTCCAACCATTTTAGTTTTACAGGTGGTATCATCACAGCCATGGTGCCACCTTACACCCTCACCCTCACATCTGAGAGATAAAGAGGTACAGTGACTTAAGTGACACAGAAACATCAATATTTGATACAGATAAGTCAATAACTATTTTTATGTTATAAATATATTAAAGATTAAGTGGGTGTTAGATGATGGAACAATAGGGGAAATCAAGGCCCACTACATAAATTGTGACGACTGTAGTGGATTAGCTTAGCTTGTTGGCTTAGCTAGGGGAAATGAGCATGCACAAAAAAATTATTTTGATATTATATATTATTATATAAGGTTGACAGCTAAAAGGAGAACTTATGCATTTAATTGATCAAAAGTAACAACAAAGACGTTTATAATTTTACAAAATATTTCACCTTATTACCGTTTTACTGTAGGCTATTTTGATCAAATAAATGTAGCCTTGCCTCTGGGAGCATAAGATAATTTTTTTAAAAGATTAAAAAACCATAATGATTACAAATGTTTAATTGGTAGTATACATAAACTGACAAAGACAAAATGTCCAACATTGGTTCAAAACCAGTACTTAAACCTTAACTGTTACACACACATACCCAGAGAAACCAGTAACTGAAATAATTTTACCTCTAGAAGTCTCTCCACATTCCTGTATACCAAGGTCCATAACCAAAGATTAACAATAACAATACAAAGTGATGATAAAATATGCTTTCATCCTAAAACCAGTTTGATTCTGAGAAATTTACTTCAGAACTAGAAAGTTCATCAACTGAAGATGATGGTTTGATGACACATACTTGTCATCTTGCCAATGTTCCTACCGATGCCTGGGATCTTTTCAAGAAGATGACAGGCTCTGTCAACTCAGCACAAACGCATGTATAAATGTAGGTCTTGAGTCAACCCATTGATTATTAACTTATTTATCTAGTCAGCAAACTTTCATAAGCAGGTTGACGTTGGACTTTTTTGGTTCTGATCTTCTTTTAACTATGGTCTGTAAACCTGACCAAAAGTATGACACTAATGAAAGAGAGAGGCTTATCTAATGTATGCATTGGATGGTTTACACCTGTTTCTTACACCCCCTTTTAGTTGGTGCTATATAGACAGAATTGATTAATCTCCACAAGTACCTGGGGATAAGGAACCAAGGTGTATATTCCAATCTGATCTACCTTCAGATTGTCAGAAGGATAAAGCAAGTCCTTACAGGCAGTTACATAATACGACATACTTGACTCTATAAGTTACAGGTTGTCATGCATTAGTAAAGCATTAGTAAAACAGCAAAGGAGGTTATTTAAGCCATTCTTATACTCCAAACAGTGTCATATCTTACTAATAAGCACTTTGATTGTCTGTGAAAATTTGGGTGACATTTCCACCCAGCTGTTTTCGTTGCGATTAACGGTGTTGGGTTTTGACAACCTTTTGGTTTGCTTATTCATTCAGCTGGCTAACCCATCTTATCACATAGCTTGCCATGCATAGTCCGTGCTACGTAAAATACATTCGCGAGGAACATCTATCTACTTAAATCATTATACGACATCTGGAGCATATTTTATATGTATTCAAAAGGAGTGTACTTCCATGCTAACGTCTGTAAGTGAAATGGAACTTTAGCTTGTTAGCATGAGACCAGCTAACAGAACAGTAGAAGCCAACAAGCTAAGCTAATCCACTACACTGAAATTATTCCCTAACGTCACAATTTGTGTAGTGGGCCTAGATTGAATTATAACACTGATAGAGTTTCAAGTCAAATAACCAACTGTCCTGTGAGTATAGGACTATATAGCACAGGTAGACCGACGCATTAGCCCGGCTGTAGAGCTGCTTGTCGGTGGTTGCCAGGCTGTGATCAACTCCCTCCGCCACTCACTTCACATGAGTCAGCTCAGCTGCTGATATTTCACATTAAAATCATGCACCCAAACAAACATCTGCCCAATGTACAAGGCATGCATTTGACACAAATGCTGCTACAAAAACAGAGATGCCAATTCAGAAGATTAAACACAATGTCACATTTAAAATGGTTTGAACCTGTCGGCTATTGTGGTAATAAAGACCTGAAAAGGTGAGGCTGGAGCTTACCATAAACTGCCAAAGGCCTATTCAGTGAATGCACGAAAGTGGCTTTCATGGCGATTAAAGATCCCTCGGCACCGGCATGTGACCGTGCATTATAGAAAATACTCGTAGCCACTGGGTTGATCTGGTAAGGCTGAATTGAGAGTTGGGAGTGTGCAGAGCAGTGCTCAATCCCTGCTAGACTCAGCTACTGAGAAATAAGCGGCAGGCTCAGTGCTGTTCAGTCCCTCCCTATCATTCATTACCCGTTGTACAGAAAAAAACAGCGCTTAACGTTACAGCTCTGGGCGACAATAACATACCTGTCATTTGGAATAAATAAATATTGTGTAATATAATCAATGCTAGCGGTGTCCGTTATTTGAGAGCCACACTACGCTACAGTGAGTGAACAATGTTATTTTACTATTATTTGCATACTATTATAGCATAAATGAATATTTAGAATTAGAATTTATTTGTATATTTTCAGTTTATATTTATATCTTCATTTAAATGTAGGTTTGGTACTGTAATTTCTATTTGTTTTTTTAAATAGTATTTCTAGCTTCTAACATTTTTTTCAGTTCAGTAATTGAAGTTGGCCTATTTAACTTGCAATAAGTTCCCTTAGTTGTCTAGGCAGCATTTCTAATTTTAGTTTAAGTTTTTCCTTTATATTTACATTCAAAATACATGCATAGGCTAAATAATACTGGCTACATTCAACTAAACCTAAACAGACCAAACCTAAACATTTTTTTTTTTTTTTTTTTTAAATGGTGTCCACTGCACACGTATGGATAAACATTGTCCAGAACTATCTGAGTACACACAGCAGTCTAATAAAAGGTGGATAATGTGGTTGTGGGGCAGAAGAATTGACACGTTTGTTCTTTAATTGCAACAATCCATTCGATCATCCCTGACTTGCCCAAACTTCATAAGGGACAGTAGCTAAGCACGCCCTCAGAGTTACCTAACAACAAACATTATTATGAGGCCTTAGGGTTTCTCAAACTCCGAAACTCGGTCCTGGAGGGCCGCTGTCCTGCAGAGTTTAGCTCCAACCCTTATCAAACACACTTACCTGTGACTTTCTAGAGACCTTGATTAGCTTGCTCAGGTGTGTTTGATCAGGGTTGGAGCTAAACTCTGCAGGACAGAGGCCCACCAGGACCGAGTTTGAGAAACCCTGAATTAAACTAAACCTACTTTTCATTGACTACATGTCTGTGGGTTCCAAAGGAAAGAAGATGTAAACGCTGCCCCCTGTCGGACTAAAATAATAATGCAAAAACAAGTTTTTTTCCTGCTGCTTTGTGGTATGCTGTATAGAGAACTGGAGAGTGGCAACCACAAGCGTTGCTGCAGTAGACAACGCATTCACTTGGAGCTGAAAATGACACACTTCCAAGGGTTCTGCCTTTCATGATAAAACCATCCACAAATTGTTATTTAGAGGGTTAACCGCTGCAGCATATGAATGAAAAGCTCTGTTGCTCAGGAGAAAAAACAAGTCAAATTACCATGACAGTCATTTAAGGATCCTGGTTAGTCGTTTAGCTTTACAGTTGCACTTACACAACCGGGTTAAGTGTCCTTACTGTATGACAGCATGTGACAATGACACATGTGACAAACACTGCAAAATATTTTTAAGAGAAATTGAACATAAAGAAATACTATGTATCCTACAACATGCATGCATTTGATTTATCAGAATATAGCAGTTAGTCCATAAAAGGATCCTTTGAAGAAACCTTGCAAAGAATGAATGCAACATAACACTGAAACTGACAATGTACTGTATCTAACATACATTAAGTCGCCTATTATAACAGTTAAAATATGATAAGTGCCAACATAATGCTCAAGCTTAAATGCAACTCACCAGTAATGGGCACAATGTAGCAGAGTGATCATATGGTTATGGAATAACCTCCTTTAGGAGTTAACAGCTTCTCCCAACAGTTCACCAAGAATCAACACCCCTTTCCAGTGGTTCCAATAGTGTAGTCAATTGTATAAAAGAGTCTGCACTCTGATAGGTCAATGAGTACTTGCTGGAAGGGGCATCATTCCACTAAGCATAGCAACTTATGTCATGCAGACATAACAATCAGTACTTTTTAAACACAATATAAAATCAAACACTCATTCCTTTAAAACATTACAGTGGACGGCAACTGAAAAAAGGAATAAAAATGGAATCTAAAAACTGAGGTCTGTTCAATAAATTAGTAGGGTTTAATCAAATAAGCTTGTTTCACTTGCCATTTCAATCTTATTTCATCGCAACTGGAAAACAAATAACCAAAGGTGGACATCATGTTCTGTGTAAATCAACCTGAACAAATTTACATAAAGAAAGGAAGAACCATGATTTTTAAATACGCCTAATACATAACATTTTGCTTTATGATTTTACAACTTACAAATAAAAAAGGTCTATTTGTTATTTTTAATAGAGGAAAAAAAAGACTAATTCAATTTGTGGCACCATTTCCCCCCTGACTTAATAGCAGTAATCTTAAATTATATATCACAATCATTATATGAATGGTGTTATATACTATTATAGAGTCTTCAGGTTGAGAGTCTCCTCGGGGTCATTAACATCTGCCTGGCATCAGTTGGAGAAGGGCATAATCACTGGCTGTACAATCACAGTGGCTCCACTCTTCTCATTGGCCATGAACATGATTATCACGTCAGCAGAGGTGGAATATAGAGATCCCATGTCTAGATATGGTACTCGGCACTGAGCTATATACAACTATTGCGTCTGTTCTGATTATTTAGGCTATGGTTAACAGTTTAAAGATATAGACAGTCATACTAACATAATCTCAACTAAAGTAATATATTAACAGGTTTCCTATGCAGTTTGGAAAAGTATTATATTTAATTTCCAGGTCTGGAAAAGTATGAATTTTTTTTTTTTCTTGACTATTTCCCTTATTCAGTTTTCTAAAATTTAAAGCTGCAGTCTGCAGGTTTTCCTCTTTGTCACCATCTCTTTTCGAAATTTCCAATTGCAGTCGTTCGCGGAATTATCAACTTTACGTGAGTTGTACTTCAACACCCTCGACACGGCACAGCGCGGATGAACACAATGTTTGAGGAGAGTGTGCAGCTGTCAGTCGCTGCTCTGGTGAGGATACTGGCATTCAGAATCACAGACTAATTCTTTTTGGAATGAAGACCAACATAATAATAATATTCACCGGAATATGTCATTTGAATTAGTACGAAACATTCACTTTTGATCTGGTTCTGACATTGCAGTAAATCGCGCTGATTAAATCTAACAATTGTTCATAAGTTATATCACGCAAAAACTGTGCAAATTAAACTTTGTTCTCAAATTTAATGTTAACAACGTCAGCGTTGCGTGACTACATGTAATGTCCTTCCGATATGTATACTTGTTTATGCATGCCTCTCTCTGACTGACCATACCTGCTTTTATTCAGATCTATATGTCCCAGCGCAGTATCTTCAGCATCTCGCCAGTGTTTATATAACGATGTGTGATCAGTGGATGGTGGGTTATTAATATGTCATCTCTGCTGGTCCAGGTTGCTGCCGGTCAGCAGGTCTCCTCCACAGGACCTATTCAGCAACTCTTTCAGTGCTTCATTGACATCGGTATTAAACACGCTGCTAAAGCTACAGTTCGGGAAGGTAACCTGGAATGAACCCACCACTTCCTGTACCCACTGCAGCTCAGCACAGAGCTCCTTCTGCAGAGCCTCAAAACGTGTCTGCCTCTCCTTGTATCGCTCGCTCACTCGGCTAACGCTGCCATCCACGCTCCTCATGTCTTCGTGAACACCCCGTCTCTGGGCTTCGACTTTACGAAACTCATAACGAAGCTGGGACAACTCGTGTCTGATGCTTTCGCTTTCTTCTTTGTACCACATCTCCTTCTCATTGTAAATGGACACTAGCGCATCAATGTCCTCCTGCAAGGAGTCGTGGGCCGACGCCAGCTGGCAGAAAGTGCCCTCCATTGCTGACACGTCCTCCTCCACCTGTGCGAAGCGTTCAAAGTTGATGTAGGTGTTATTAGGAGGCATGCTGGAGTGGGACTTGATGGTGTACTCTTTAAGACGCTTCGTCTTCAGCTGCCTACGCTCTCTCTTCCTCTCTGGTGCTTTACTGCGCTCGTCCTTATGCTCATTAGACTGCCAATAGACAATGGAGTTAAGATTGAGGGAATATCAAAATGCACTGTACTATAGAGCCTGTTCAAACCAAGAACTATAAAGATGACAATAATGATGACTATATTAGCAACCACACCAACGCACGATAACGTCTGTGACTTTAAATGCTCAAGCTCTTTAAATCAGTATGGATTCTGATTGACTGTCAATGTTTTTATTGTTCATTAGTTAGAAAAAAGTGATTCCAATGATATAATTCATCTTTGTCAGAATTGTTAGAGTTGTGGTGTGGATGGTGTGAACTGTTATTTTACATTTCGAATTTTTTTATTGTTATCTTTATAGTTATTGTCGTTGGTGTGAACGGCCCTTGAATGTCTTTCAGGTAAACGATCTCAAGCTGATAACATACCTTGATCCAAGGGTGGTTCAAGGCATCTTGAATTGTAAGTCTCTTTCTGAAATACATAATAGAGATGGTACTTTATGCCATTTTACTTTAAACAAGCATCATATTTTGCTCTCTGTCTCAAGCTCAAAGCTCACACTCAAATACACATGATTTCTAGGGATGTCCCGATCCGATCCACGGCATCGGTATCGCGCCGATACCGGCCCAGAACGCTAGATCGGAGATCGGAGGGGAGAAAAAAATATGAGCGATATCCAGTTTAGCGGCGCAGCCTGTCACGTGATGATTGTTGTGTTTAAGCACACGCGTGCAGAGAATCACTCTCGCTTTTGCGCACGGATTCTAATGTAATCGGATGATTCCACAAAAGCTGCATTTCAGTCTTCTCAGAAATTCATTGGCTATCAGAAAATAGCGTCATTTCATTCTCTATTGCAACTGGATAGATAAACTGTCACTCAAAGAGAGAGCGAAACTGGCGCGCGTATAGTTTGAAGCGAAATTTACGCGCGTGACGCGCGTCAGAATCAAAATCCGTTGGCGGTCATTGTTTTTATGTCGACCGAGCATTCATCAAGAGAGTTACCGCTCTGTATTTACTCTGGATAGCAGAACAGCGGCGTGGGGATCATCGTCGCCGTATATTTGTGTCCACCGGACCCTTCGGAGCCGAACCGTTTGGCGAGTTTCACCATTTGCTCGCTCCAGGAGCTGCGCTGGATGACGGCCGCTGTCAGCGGTACTTCCGCCTGTCACGCGCCCAGTTTGATGACCTGTTGTCCCGCATCTGAGCGAGGATCACCCTCGCCCGGCCCCTCATCCATCTAATCTGGCTGTCATTTATTTTTGTTTTGATAATAAATAGAGCCAGCCTTCAAAAGTTATTAACCTGTCCTGTGATTTTTTTCTCTCTCTCACGTCCAGACACGAATGTATGCACATATGTTGATATATATATATAGCGCGCTATGTATGTTATGCGCGCAGTATGTCTCGCTCTAGATTCCGGGAGATTTGAACTAATTTGCGGGCATCAGGGAGACGCTATCAATGTGCGGGAGACTCCCGGAACTTCCGGGAGACTTGGCTGTCTTTACAACATAACACTATTTCTAGATATGGAATGAATAACATTCAATACAAAATGAACATGTCTCCATATAGAAATAATGTTTTAAGTGATGAAACATTTGCTTTGTTGTGCATAATCCCACCATGCATTTAGTCATATTAACAAAATAATTTATTGAAGCATCCAGACACTTCACCACGTGAGCAAGCAGTTCAACTCGGGCGGCAGATGCGAATTCGCGTCAAACGCGTGAATGCACAACGCTCAATTCGCGCCATTCGCGCCAACTTGATTCGCGTCTTCCGCGCCGCGCTCCACGCCTCATTCGCGCCGCAGGAATTTTTCTTGCATTGACTTAACATTGAAATCATTCGCGCCTGACGCCCTATTCGCGTCCGGTGTGAACGTAGCATTAGTGCGTCGAAGTTGTGATAGCGCTGTCGGCTAACGGGAAATGCTACTATTTACATTCCATGGATGTTTATTCATATATACAATTGTTTTGGACTAAAAACTTCTTCAAATTGGATTGTATGGACGCTTTACAGTGAAACCAAACCATTTTTGTTGGAATGTGGACTAACAGATGGCTAATTGGTGAGTTTCTTCCAGTTTGTGTTGGTTTGTTTTGGCTGTTGGTGGTCTGACAAAGAGACAGATTGTGCCCGCTGTGTTGATTGTATCTTAAAATGGTTTACGTCGTTCGAATCACGAGTTTCTCAGCTTTCCAAAGATATGTATTATGTTTACTTTTGTGTTTGTTTTGTTTTGTCTTTCACAAAGTTAAACCTATAAACCACCCTGTGGGCCGTATACGGCACGTCGGACCACGAAAAAAAAAAATATCGGACTAATATCGGTATCGGCAAAACCCAAAGGTGCGGCATCGGTATCGGTATCGGAAGTGAAAAAGTGGTATCGGGACATCCCTAATGATTTCAGATGATCTCAGCTTACTCACTTGGTGTCTTTTTCCAGCAGTTGTCTTATAAAGTTCTTGGCAAGCTCACTGGTGTGGCCAAAGAATTCATCATCAAACTCATAGTTCATGGCTGAGATGTTTCCCAGGGTGTCTTGCTTCGTTTCTCCTAGGAAAGGAGACGCCCCGCTCAACCTGCATTTAGAAAGCATATTAGCAGAACATTGGTAAAATCACACATTTTTATATTTAGGCTTAAAAAAATGGTGTACTTACAGAATATATGTAATAACACCAACACTCCTATAAAAGGAAAGCACTTAATTATTTGAAATAAAAAACAACAATATCAAATTACTGAGATATTTTACTTAAAGGGTTAGTTCATCCAAAAATGAAAATTCTGTCAGTATTTACTCACCCTCATTTTGTTCCAAACCTCTATGTGTAGGAAAAAATACATACTATGGTAGTCAATGGGGATTGAGATCTGTTTGATTAAAACATTCTTCCAAATATCTTCCTTTGTGTTCAGCAGAACAAATAAACACATAGAGGGTTGGAACAACATCAGGGTGAGTAAATACTGCCAGGATTTTCATTTTTGGGTGAACTAACCCTTTAATATACATTACAAAATGATCTTACCACATATCTGCTTCCAGTCCCAGTGGTTCATAATTAACAATTTCTGGAGCTGAAAAAAGCAAAAACGATACGTGGAACAAAACAATAAGAATTAAAAAAAAGTGTGTTAGGGGTCGTTCACACAGAATGAGTTTTTGCATTCCACTGTGCTGCTTTTCCATTGTTTTTTCTATGTGAACATGAGCTAGACGGACGTGTTTGACCGCTGCGTTGATGTCTTACTGTATGTCTTTTTCAGCATCTTTTGCATTACAGAGTGCTCTAAAAATGCATAAAAACTGCGTCTCAAGTTTTTCAACGTCAAAACATTTTCTGTGTGAAAGGCCCCTTAGTGTGCACAGTTAAGGCTGCAGGCTTTAGGGTTTAAACAGAATATATATCATACCAACAAACTCTGGTGTTCCAAAGATGTTTTTAAATTCAACCCCTTCAGCAATCTTGTGGGCCAAGCCAAAATCAATGAGTTTGATCCGGGGAAGTGGGGCGTTCTTATCCAGAAGCATGATGTTTTCAGGCTGTGAACCGGAAAATAAATTACACACACAGGAGCACACCCACACTCATATGCACACAAAGACACACTGTTCTACTGACAGAGAATTCTTCAGTGTTTCACATCTGTCAGCGCAAATATGCTGTACTGTAATAATCTGGGCAGTGTTATGAGACCAGTGGGTGTAGTGTACCTTCAAGTCAAAATGAGCAATATTCCCTGTGTGTAAATAGTGGACGCCCTCTAGAATCTGCTTGATAAACTGTGTGGCTTCTTCCTCACTTAAAGACTCTTTCTGTGCCAGAAAGTCGAAAAGCTCTCCTCCAGACACCCTACAAAAATATATAATCTCTTCTCAATAAGGGTAGGCAGGTGAACTAAAACTAAAATATGCATTTTAACTTTGCAATCGCAAACTCATATAATAATGAAATCATTTGTATTAGCATCAATACAAGCTCTACTCACAGCTCCAAAATCAGCACCACATCTGTCTTGTTCTCAAACACATCATGTAGCATAACAATATTGGGATGTTGTATCTGCTGTAGGATGTTGACCTCTCGCTCAATCTCTTCTCGGAGCACACCTCGCCGGCTGGCATTACTCTGGCGTTTCTTTATGAACTTAGCTGCAAAATCCCGGCCTGAGCACTTTTCACGACACTGCTTAACAATTGCAAACTGCCCACTGAAAGACACATGAACTGTTATAAAACACAAGGGCAACAATTTCATGTTATAAATATAAATAAATATAAATAAAAGGTATTTCTAGAAAAGATTTTCAGATTTGAAACTACACTGTGGAATCAAGGCCGTAACCAGGGTCTTAAAATTAGCGAGGTCCGGGGTGTTGTGTAAAGAATTGTGCTATAATAATGGTTAGGCTATTGGATCTCCATTTCCCAGTGTCCCTTTTTTTAAAGGAATTTGCCATATATATATATATATATATATATATATATATATATATATATATACAGGGGTTCAATTTGGATTTAATTATGTCCCCCTATACATGGGACCTATGAATGCATCTGTGTAATATGTATGATCAGGATTGCAGCAATCAGGAAAGTAAATCAATAAATCACCAAGTAAAGAGCAAACTTCTTACCTTCCAAGTTCCTCTCCAATCTCATAGAAATTCTCAACCTGCTGCTGCTTGAACACAGCCATTGTGATCTTATTTAAAACAAAACAAAAACTCTTCTTATTTACTGGACTCATAACAAATAGTATGCACAAAGACTTACAATTGTTTAAAAAACAATATAAATTTTCTGTGCGTGTGAGTCAAAATGACACTTTATTGCGTACTATAGGCTACAAGCTGATCATACAGTATTAGTTTGTTGTGACCTAAATATTTCATTTATGATGGAGGGACAAATTTAGATCTTAAGTGTGCAAGATAACGACGAGGCCTCACCTATATTTAGCCTAAATTTATCCAAGGAAAACGGGTGTCTAGAATGGAAAATGAAAAAACAAACTCATAAAATGCAAATTGGAAAAATCTGTTTTCACAGGTATATTCTGACTTACAAGACCATGCTATTTGATGTAGGCTACTACATTTTGATGCTGAAAGGAGCTCATCTTGAGAAGAAGCGTTTTTACCTGACATGACAGCTTTATCTAGTACTAGCAGACCCTGTCTGATCGTCACAACACTGGATTACCACATCTCAAAAAGACGGTGTAGGCTAATGCACTTCATTATAGGCATTCGAAAAAATATTTAGGAATAGACTTTAAGGCAAACGTTACACAAGCACGAGCAGACTTGACTGTAATAAAAAAAGTAAACATTTAAGGGCGTAACCAAAGAGTTTGTGTGAAAAAAATGCATGTTTAAGATCAGTAGGACAAGTACAAGATATTTAGCCTACCTGTCATCACCAACAAATGTGTTCCGTTCTGAATCCTTTCATGCGTCTTTCATAGAGGAAAGCACACTAGTCGTGATCCCAGCAGCTTGTTTCTAAAAGTGGACACGCCACCTGTTGAACTCATGCCTGAGCGTAAAAACGACAACACACTGACAGGCTTGTCCCATGACTAAATAAAATTACCCGACATAATGTATTCTTCTGAATTGGCTACATCGATGTTGTCACCTGCCCGTTCAGTCGCATTTGTCGCTGACTGCAGTCGTTTTCAGTCAGATTAATCAATGTTGTTTGTTGTCTCACCCCTCTGTTCTCTGTACTGCTGCTGACAAGTGCTAAAATTATCACTTTTAACATGTGGCAAATAGTTGATTTAATTTTGTTGAATAGGCCTAGGCTACTTTTAAGTAGTCTAAATATAAGGTCATGTCATACTTGTTTTAACCAATATTTATTTTAAAAAGACTTTTAGTTGTAGCCCGCACAGTAGCCTAAAAACTATCAAAAATATATAAAATATTTTGGCTCCCTCGTCCTTATAGCTCAGTCTTGGTCAGACGTCACTCTGCCTACCAGGCAGTGGACCTATCAGCTCTCCATCTCCGCCAGTGTCTCCAACTGGTTAAACTGTCTCCTTCCTCCGTCGACTCTGCTGTGGGTCTTCATCCTGGAGATATATCCAGCTGCAGACCCGCAGCACCACCAGTTTCAGAACCCCAGTTTCAGAACCCCAGCGCCAGAACCGGAAGTGAAGGAGGGGCGGAATTATTATTATTGCATTATAATTATTTTAGCAAGCATGTAAGGACAAACCCGGCCTTGAGTTCCTCATTTGATACATTGTAAGTTAAATTTAAGCAAAATTGTTGTGATAAAACAGGCCTAGCTTGGGTTGAATTGGTCCTTTTGTATAGATTTTTAACAAAATAATGCCGAATTTTCTCTTTTTTTAGATTTTGACATTATTTTACACGAAAAATGCATGCTGCACATGTTCTTGTGAAATAAAGTATATTTTATAAAAAAATACCCATGCTTTTTTATTTATTTTTTATTAAACAATCAAAATCATCTTACAAATACATCTTCAATATCAAAACAATTTAAGATTTTTGTAAACACAATAAAGAAATAAAGAAATAAATAGAACATAAAATATCACAGAGGTCTAATGAGTTATCAGATTGTGTATAATTTTGAAAACCTCCAATGATTGTCTTGTTTTATATCTTTCAAAGCTTTTATACAAAGTTAACTCCTTCATAAAAACCAAAAAAAAAAGGTCTTATCTTCCTAAATCTACACGTATGTATAAACTGCTTAGCTAAAATTATTCAACTGTTATACATTAAAATAGAGTCTGGTTGAACCAGGCTACATTAAAATGCCCATAAGTTTCAAGTATTATTTTTTTCACCATCATGATCAGGAAGTAACTCGTAATACAATGAAACGAATAACTGAAACTGTATACAATTATTTTACACAAAATCAATGTTTTAAAATGCTTATTGTACAGTAATGTATAGCATCATAACGTAGTAGGACGTTTCTTGTTCAATAAAAGCTTCGTTTCATGTGTAAAATACCCTCCAAATTACGTTAGGTGGCGTTATTAGGTTTCAAATCTAAGCTCCGCCCCTCAATTACGTTCCGCTGGTGTTGGTTAGAATCTAACACCGCCCCTCACTTCCGGTTCCGGCGCTGGGGTTCTGAAACTGGGGTTCTGAAACTGGTGGTGCTGCGGGTCTGCAGCTGGATACTATAGATCCTTGCTGTTGTCTGGGTCCCTACCTACCCGACTGTTGGGAGGTGGGGGACTATGTAACGTTTAGTTCTGTCTGTTTAGTTTTATTGTGTTTTGATTCGGTTTTCCCAGCCTTGGATTCCTGTGTTCCCTGCAGGGGAAGTTTAGAACTAGAACTGCAGAACTAGTTTCTAATTTACGCACCTGTCCTGTTTTGTGAATACTCTGTCTGTGTATTTAAGCCTTTAGTACATTCAGTTCTTTGTTCGGTCTCATTCACGCTTAAGTGGTTTGTGGTTGAAAGTTTTTCTCGATCACCAGTATGTAGATAAATAATAAAGAATAAAAATAATTAATAAAGACTGTTTATTTTGGACACTCCTTTGTTTCGTCGTGCTATTTACGCAACCACTGTTACACTTTCATATTCTTTTTAAAATTTTGTCTAAAACACTTAGATACAACGAATTGCAAATATATAAATATTTGGTTGAAATATCTTTATGCTTTGAGGCCAATAATCAATATCGAAATTGGCGAAACATGGCAAAATTGCATAAAGTGCACTATTAGTAAACTATTTCACATTGGTATTGTGAAACACAAATGACTGCTATTAATAAGACTCTGAAACTTTTATTTTCCCAGTTGAGAATATTTACTTATGTATTAATACTGTATAATCTATGAAAATGTGCAGTTGTTGGCCTATTTCCTGATCCAATCAAGATTTTTAATCTTTGATATTTATAAGGATGGCAACTCTGACAGAAAAACCATCCAAAGATAATGCAATTATGAAATCACATTAGTGATTTTACCAGTTTTACCAGATTACCAGTGTTGTTATTGACTAGGCAGATAAGCTCAAACAATAGAACCTTTTATACTCGCAAGATTTACGTATGAGGAAACTAGGCAAATGAAGTGAGCCAGTCTTCCTGTCACAGTGAATGAGTGTTGCATTTTTAAAGATGGATAGTGGGGTTTATTGAATGTAAGCAGTGCACTTGAGAAGCTCACAATGGAGCAGATAGAGGCAGCTATGTACCAGAAGATGAAGATATCTGAGAGATTAAATGAAAAGCGGATGGAGCAAATGGAGGGAGATCTCAGCATGGAAAGAGGACAGAGGGAGCCCATCCTTAACTGGTTTGTGGAGACTCAGGCTGTGCTCATCCTGTGTGACGGACGTTTTCCACCCTGGTTCCAGGGTTTCATCTCCAGGCAGTAAGAACTAATGAAAGATAAGAAGTTTGGTAATGGTAACTGTTCCACCATGATCTATAAAATCATCTGATATGAACGTATATTGTTCAGGTGCAGGCGACTGAGATGCAAATGTTTATGATTGTGTATTGAGGCTGTTGCACTGTGGTAACTGTTGCTGTTTCCAGTGAAGCAGAAGATCAGCTCCAAGACAAGAATGTTGGTTGCTTCCTTATCAGACTCAGTGAAAAAGCCAGTGGATATATTCTTTCATACAAGTAAGAATCAAAATTGGTCTGGAACACTTTACCATAAGGTCTAATTTGTTAACATTAAGCCTATTTATGCGTTAGCTAACATGAACTGCAGAATATAATTTTACAGCATCTTTTTTAATGTTAGTTCACAGTGCAATAACAAGTGTTAGAAGATACAACTTTTGGTTTTAAAATGTAAATGTCAAGTTAATAAATTCTGTAGAAGCGTTGTTCTTTCTTAGTTAATGTTAACTAATGTAGTTTACAAACGAGATTTTGTCATTTTTATGGCAACCCCCCCCCCCTCCCCCACACACACACACACACAATGTACATATTGAAGCTGCTGAGCTTTGAGTCGTTTTCTCTAATGCCTTATGTTCACAGAGGACAGGATCGTTGTCGCCATTTTGTCATAAATCAAACCAAGACTGGCATGTTCTCCATTTCTGGTGATTCCACCACTCACAACAGTCTCAAAGAGATGATCAGTCACTTTAAAACCACACCAATCCAGCCTTTTGGAGAGTACCTGACTTCAGATAACACAGAGATGGATTCTGTAGGAGAGGTAAATATATGTTTGCATTCTTTGTAGTGCACTAATTATTCCTTGTTAAAAAAAAACAAAAAACAAACACTTTACCCATAAAGAAATTAATACTTTTAAAAACTGTTTAAAGTCAAGTTCATGCAAATTGGATGAAAATTACATTTAATCAGTAGCCTATTATAAGCTGTTTTGTATTAAGTACAGCCCCAGCTAAGATCACTAGCCAAATACAAATGCTTCACGCGAGTTCCGTCTTTCCCATGGAAAAGTGATTTGTAATTAAATGCAATACATTTTATCTTATGAGTTAACTTGTTTCATCTGACTCCATAAGATAAAAAAGGTTTATCAATGATATCTGCGTTACTGTTTGACTATTTTAGCTGACCTGCTGACAGGCTATGAGGAAAGTCGCGAGACCCTCCCTCATGGGCTAATCTGAATACAACCGCCCTGAACTCTCGTTGCATTTCTTTATATAGTCAGAACCATTTGCTTAGTTGTAATTTGCATTCGGACAAAGGATCAGAAGGTGTTAACTCAAAGACACACCCTTCTATGTGCAAGATATTTCTATATTCTTAAGAACCCTTTTGTTTTACTTATGAGACATACCAGTCACCCTGAGACCTTTAAAATGATACTAAACAATCCTTAATAATTCACATTAAAACTATATAAATTCTTGTGTGAGTGTTAAGTGTTACTGAGAGAGAGAGAGAGAGAGAGAGAGAGAGAGAGAGAGAGAGAGAGAGAGAGAGAGAGAGAGAGAGAGAATGTAGATAAGGTGCTCAGAGTAAGGGGCTGCAGGGTGTGTGTGAGAGTTTTTCACATGTTAATTTGCAAGCAAGATTGATTCCATGAACCAGTTACAATTTTTCCAGTCTTACAGAATTGTTTTATGTACTTTTGTGTTTCTTTTCTTCTAGGATGCCCCAAATGAGCTTTATGATGTGGTTAAAAATAAGCCCTGGGTTAATTCAGGAGTGAGCGTTAAGGCTCTAAGAAGTTTATGGGAACAAACTAACATTGTCCCGCATTGCACGCCTCCCGTTCTATCTTCTAAAAGTGGACGGAAACTCACAACCTCCACCTCTATTGACAGGAACAGTCTGTCACAGGTAACCATATCAGCTGCTTCCTTGGTTACTATCTCTCTGGTAACAACGGCTAATTTTGTGGCGTACATTTCTTTTTTTTTTATATCTGTTAAAATTCATACTGTATGATTTCAACCATTAGGGAATGAAAATTCCACCTGTGCCAAAGAAAAGTGCACCACTTCGGAATTCCTTAAGCGCTGGTTTTCCAGGTAAAAATCCTTCACATGAACAACCCAGCTTTTCAGAATCAAGGACATCTGGAAGGACAGGTGGAGATGAAAGAGTAAACAGCAGAAGTGATATCAGAGAAACAAAGTGGCCTCTCCACCATGAAAACCACCAGTCTTGTAGTTTTATGCCCTCCACCCCGCAACAGCCTCCCTTACTTCCATCCAAAACAGACTCCTGCTCTTACGCTGTCCTCGAACACCATACTGGAGCTGGCCGAGCGCCACAAACTAACAAAGTAGCCCTAAAGCCCAATCCAATCTACCAGGCCTCGACTGATGTTAACTCGGGGCAGAAGGAACAGCCAGAGCTAGTGTATGACAACCGTGCAAGGCCCATCGACAACATCCTTTTAGCAGAAAACCACTATCAAGACATACTTGACAATGAACATGTGCCTGAGAGCAACACCTATGAGGACATTCGAGTGACGGACAGCAATACATATGCAAGTTTGGATGAGATGCCACCACAAACACAAAACATCCTGGGGAAGAAGGTGAGATGAGACCTGACACAATTACAAACATATAGCCTACTGTACATAATTTCTGCATTAATTTATCTTGTAAAAAAATACTGAAACTGTTGTTTTTAACAGAATCATAAGTGGTGGAAACTTCGTCTGGATAACAAGAAGCTATAGTCATCACATTATTTGAAGAAACACCTCATTTAAGTTTAGAATTATAAAGTCATAATTTTCATGTTAGTGTGTGCATGTGTAACTTCAGTACAGTAGCTTCCACAGTTACAAAATGCTAAACATTGTTAATGCAAATACAATGGTAGCTTGATATTATTACGATGAAACATATTTTGAAAATGTATTTGAATACCTGTGTAGGATTACAAATTTATTTAAATGTTTAATTTAGGTTCAAGTACAATAGTATATAAACTGAGAAAGTCTAGTAGACTGAATTTAGCATTTGAGGTATAAAATGAGCAGATACTTTTCATCTTTTTATAGCTCTGGGAGCCCCTGGCTCAATCTGAATAGGGCATTTCAGAATGTTTGTAAACAATAGGCACCGCGATACTTCCGGGTGGCAGAACGCGAGCGGCTTCCATTGACTAACTGAAGAGATCCAGCCGGCAACTGAACAGTTACACAGTTAAAATCATTGTTGTTGATCAAAGTTGAATCTATGGCGAAAATATGTTGTGTTTGGGGTTGCGCCACCAGATATACAGCAAACGGTGTAGGTTTTTTTTATCGATTTCCTTCAGAAAAAAGTAAATCTATCCAGCAGAACCTGTGGGTGAGGAGGTTAAAGCGAGTGGACGTCGTCAAAAGTGCATGTCGTCTTCTAATTATGAGCCTGAGCCCGATTTAAATCCAACCATTTTAATACGTGGGTCGTTATATAACTGACGTTCTCAACTAACTTAGTTATTTCTATTACTTTCCATGTTACTTTCTTTTGAGCGGTGAGTAAATGCTTCTTCATCGTAAATGCTTCTGATTGGCCAATGCGTTCAATAAATCAACACATATGTCTGTGATTGGCTACATCGCTCATCGCTGCAGTCACGTTATAAAATGAAACTCTGCCATGTAACTGTTAAGTCATTTCTATTTTGTTTTAGTTGTTCTTGTTGCTTTTCTGCAACAGATGAATACAAATGTATTAGTTTTTATTTGTTTTATTCATAGATATTTCTAGTTTGCGGGAGTCCCGCGAATCGTTTTATTCTCCTGCAATCCGCACACACAGAGTGCATTACCGCCCGCACTCGGCCATCAGATCTAGTCCCGCGCCGCGGTCTAGTGCGTTGGGAGTGCACGTCTCTAGATCAAAAAAATCTAAGCTTTAATGATCATGTTAACTATGTCTGAATTTCCACCACGTCTGTTCTTGAATCAACTGTTGAAATGTAGATTAGGCTTCTGCCGGCGGTGTGTCTCCCTCCATGCAATTTACTAGTGTTGCCATAGGGACCTTCGGCTTTTGCCACCCGGAAGAACGTCTTTTATTGTTGTGACGTCATGGTGAATTGTCGTATAGTTATGCTCAGATTGTCTCCCCCTTAATGTAACAGAATTTTTCATTAAGCTCTATGATAATGTGAAGGTATGGGTGATAATCAGGCTGATTGGATAACCATACCTGACACTGCTATGCTGATATAGGGAATTTCCGGTAACTAACTCAATCCTATGCCTCATTTACATGCTTTGTTTGAGAGTGTCTACACCTCCATGTAACCCCTCCCCCTTGTAAGGAATATGAACACAAAGTATTTTGCCTTTAGCATAAACAGCAATAAAGAACCCTGCTTAAAAAAGATACTTCCGAGTCTCCTGGTCTTCGCTTCTGAGTTTTCAAACACTTTAGAAGAAAAAGTTCACAACACATCTGATTATACATAGTTATTGTTACATTCCTGCTGTTTTCTGTTTTCTTAGGACTTTATCTTTCAGTGTGTGCACAGCCTGTCACATTTAAACCAAACGTTTCTGTAAACCCAATCCAGTAACTCCACACAATTGTATGATACAATAGTCTTTGTCTACACATAACACAGCACAACTCAATAAAGCACTGAGATAATATTACAGTAAGTGCTCTGTATGAGGTTAGTATTGAGTAGATTGATTGCATTGTGCTTGGATGTGTTCCCCCATTTTATATTCATGTATGGAATAAGCTGTAGAAGTAGCAGTATAGAATATAGAGTGAATATAGACAATATATGTGCCCTCCATCCACTGCAATTCGGTCAAAGCTTGTCTAATAGCTGACTTATTGGATATCTTTGAGCCACTGAACCATTTATACTGGGTTTGGACTCTAAATACTGATACACTTAAAACCTCATGATGGATTGGTAAGCTGCAGAACAGCGTATTATGCTATTTAATAAACTATGTTTGCATTATAGCCATCAAAATGACCTCCCCTGGGCTTCACTGGCTGTAATAGATTCATGTTTAATGTATAAAGAGATTTGATGATTATTTTTTTCATGGGGTGTGTGGGTGGTGGTGGTGCAGTGGATGAGACACATGCCTTTGGTGTGAGAGATCTGGGTTCGAATCCACTGCGAGACACCAATGTGTCCCTGAGCAAGACACTTAACCCCTAGTTGCTCCAGAGGCGTGTGACCTCTGACATATATATCAATTGTCGCTTTGGATAAAAGCGTCAGCTAAATGAATAAATGTAATTTTTATGATAATTATATATATTTTAAATTGTACCATTACTTACATGATTAAATAATCCAATTATTATTAATAAGAATTCCATTTGGAGAGCTCTCTTATTCAGTTCTTACTAAGAATGCAATTGCAGAGCTCTTTAATTCAATTAGAGCTCTGCAATTATACATATCTTTAATTAGTTTTTTACTAGTAAAAATTCAATTAGAGAGCTCTCTAATTGTAATTGTTACAGTCATAATTGGATTAGAGAGCTCTGTAATTAAAAATGAATAAAAGTCAACTGAGACATATGACTAGTAATAATTCATTTGTAGAGCCCTCTAATTGTAATTGTTACTAAGAATTGAATTAGAGAGCTCTGCAATTGTAATTCTTACTAGTAACAATACAATTACGACAAGTAAGGATGGTACAATTTAAGCTAAAACGGCTTGCCATATACTAGAGCGGTGAAGTACCGGTCTCCTCAAGCAGGCGGTGACACAACCACAATTCACACTTTACCTTTCAGATCCCCCCCCCCCCCCATCATTATCAGTGACAATAAACTTGGTAGCCCTCATTGTCATTAAATTTTTTTTAAATAAAATGACAAAAATAGGCAATATAAAATGTGATGCCATAATTAGTGCTAATATGCATTTGGCGGATAGTATTAAATAAGGGAAATTCGGGATAAACAAATGGTTTGTACCTAATGATATCATAGCTAAAATTCAGAAACCATGTGGTTATTATGACAAAGTAAAAGTACACCACAGAATAATTTGAATCAGAAAGTCGGGTATTTCCCCAAAAGCTTGCAGTTAGCTGAGTCTGCATAGATTTCACATGCCTAACAGTGCAGTGCATTGTTTAATTAAACATTAAAAATGTATCACTGAACAAATCAGTGAATTTCTCAGTGGATTGGTTTAACATCCCCATGACTAGTAGGCTACAGCTTTTTAGCCAATCAAATGATATAGGCTAATTAACAAACATGACCATACATCACTAAGGCTTTATCAAAATACAAAACTTTGTTGAAAGAAAAGGAAAAATGGTACACATTTTTTGAACGAGCTTCACCAAAAGTACAGTACGTTTTGTTTTACTATTTTTCAAACCAAGAAGCTACATAAATCAAAAACATGGAAGCCTAAATTCAAACTTTTTTTAATGAATAGGCTACTAATCACACATATAGGCTAACTACCTTGTTCCATTAAGAATTATACAAAATGTTTTATTAAGCAAGTTTTTTTTTACTCAATTTAGAATTACATTATTCATTCAGTTTATTCAACTCAGTTTGATAGAATTTTACTAGCCTCCAACTGAAATTCTTAAATGTAATTGAAAAAAAATTACATAGGGAAATAAATCGTAGGGAAAGCAACAAGGAGGTAGGCGAAATAGGAAATAATAATTATTATTTCAAGTATAAACGTTGATGAACAAAATAATCATTATTATAACAACAAACGCAGTAGCCTATATTGTGACTTTTTATCTCATAATTTATATTAGACTTCATGGTCGCAGGGACTTTTTAAGTCATCATTATTATGATGTAAAAAAGCATGACTTTTCGCTTTTGCTTATGTGGGGTGAAAGGGACTTCCACACTAGTAGGCTACCTTCTGTCGCTCTTGACGCTCATAGCTTCGCAATGGCGTCACGACAGACACGCCCAGTCTTTTCCTCACTGCTGTGTGCAGAAAAGTCAGGAAACACAAGTTCAACAACCGCATCTTTTATGTACCGTTAGCCGAATACCGCTACTCTGCTACCGATCCAAAGTAAGGTAGCCAGGCAGGAGAAACAGGAAACATGGCGAAAACGTACGACTATCTGTTCAAATTGCTGCTCATCGGAGACAGCGGAGTGGGCAAGACGTGTCTGCTGTTTCGATTCAGCGAGGACGCGTTTAACACCACTTTCATCTCCACTATAGGTCAGTTTAACACTATGACTATTTGATTTGTATGTATACATTACCGGAACGTTTACTGGGTAGTCATGCCGGAGGAGAAATAAGCTGTTATAGAGATGGAGGTTTACATGCGTGACTGTCTGTTGGAGTGACAGGAAGAGGCCGTGAATGTGACAGCCCGTTTACTGAGCTGTTCATCGACTTGTTTTTATTCGAATTTAAAATGACAAACAACCGATTTTCTATGTCAGGATCAGTTGGCATATACTCTTTTATATGTCATTTGAATAAAACGTGAGAGTATGCTGTGTGTATATAGCTAGCATGATGGCAGCCTTATTAGCTGTTCGCTAGCAGTGTGGGCTGGACTGCCCTTTCGTTTCTGTGGTTAGAGACGTTTAGTGTTTAGATTCACATTTCACCTATAAACAAAATGTCATGGGGGCCAGAGCGAGCACTTTACACTTGTGTATGCAGTCACAAGGGGCTCATCTCATATATATATATATATATATATATATATATATATATATATATATATATATATAGTTGTTAATTGCACTTAAACCTCAAAGTTGGCATGAAAATAATTCATGCCAACTTAGCGTTTTCTAAACTCATGTTATTGATTGTACTGTGAACAATTCATCTGTGCATGTTTCATTTTAAAATAATTGAGTGTCATAGCTGGACCTTCCTGTGAAACGACAGACTTTTCTTCGGTGAGGTATAGCACGACTTCTCCAATAATCATAGACTCATGAAGTCTGCTTAAACTTCGCCCCAGCAGAATGGTGTTCACCTGCCTCCACTATTGACTGCAACGCACACATCTCAAAATCCAATCTGCAACCGGTGAATTAAACCAAGACCCCGCCCTACATATTCTCTTTTTTCTTTCTTTCTTTTTGTCAATCTGATTAGTCATAATACAGGAAGATGTGTCACTACTTCCGATTCATTGCGACTTTAACACTATTATTATATTACCTTGAAGCAGTAAACTGTTTAAGTCAGCTGACCTATATTGTTATTCCGGGATAGGAACCTCTCAAAATAAGAATGTGCAAAATCATATGTCACGAGCAATTGTACACATACATGGACTAGGTCACAAGGCTAATAGTTCTTTGACACAATATTTGTTGTGATATTTTTGACACAACTTTGGGAAGGCTCGTCTACTCTCTACCGTGGATCAATACGTCATTTCCTGTGTGAAACCCGTGCGAGAGTTCCTTGACCTTTTGTCATTGTTATGCCACAGACTTCCCCTATTGCCATGGACAATACTGCTGTGTCACATCCCGTCCCATGTCCTGTCCAAGCTTTCACTGGTGGCAGGATTGTATGCCTCAATACACACACAGCCAAGTTTTCTCATAATTGCCATAAGCAGAGGATCACAATCTGTTGCTACCAAATTCAACAGTTTTACATGCATCAAGTGTAGAGCCTTTTGCAAAACCGTAGTCATTGAGTTGGTCAGACATATGTTAAACCATTCTGACCTTTCTACACATTCCATATCCATGGTTACACCATGAAAACGTGCTAAAGGGCCGATTCCCTTTTCAGTGGAAAGAGTTGTGATGTGTTCTGAGATGAGTCAGTTTCATAACGTGTCACCATAGGACTCCAATGTGCGAATACAAGGTACAGTGTTTCAGTGTTTCTAAACATTATTATTGCAGGAATTGACTTCAAAATCAGAACAATTGAGCTGGATGGGAAGAAGATCAAGCTTCAGATCTGGTGAGAGTACAAGTCTGCATTTTACATTATAAAGCAGAGATGCCCAAACCTGTGGAAAGATTTGGCCTGTAGTGGCGTGGGGAAAAACATGCCATTGAAGCATATCTTCATTTGCTGGATTCATGTACTGGCTTCCTATTATTGTTTACATGTGGAGAATTTAAGTGAATTATAATATTGTGTAATATATAATATTGTTGGAAATTATGCTACATTTTTCAGTACCAGTATATAAAGTATCATTGTATACACATACAATATTTTAAATGTGTGTTTTAAATTTGCCTTAAAGGGATACAGCCGGACAGGAGAGGTTTAGAACCATCACCACTGCTTATTATAGAGGAGCGATGGTAAGCTATAATGGCTCATTCTTTTGAGTAAATCATGTGGTTACTATTCATAAGCTATGTGTTTTTTTCTTTCACTTTCACAGGGAATTATGCTGGTGTATGATATCACAAATGAGAAATCATTTGACAACATCAGGAACTGGATCAGGAACATTGAGGAGGTGAGAAACTGAACTAATGTTGGAGAAAATAAGCATGATGTGATCATTTCATTTAGTGAGTTTGTCATATGGATTCACTTCTGTCTGTTTTATCAGCACGCGTCATCGGATGTGGAACGAATGGTATTGGGTAACAAATGTGACATGAATGACAAGAGACAAGTATCAAAAGAAAAAGGGGAAAAGGTATGTACAATTAATGACCAATTTATACATGATTGAGATTAGTGAAAAATGTGTTTTATAAAACAAATCTTGATCAAAGGAACTGCTTGTACAAGCTGTATGTTAAATGCTGATGTGGTTATTTTAACAGTTCCTTTTTTGTTGTTGCTACAGCTAGCTATTGATTATGGAATCAAGTTCTTGGAAACCAGTGCAAAATCTAGCACAAACGTTGAAGAGGTGTGGGAAAATTGTCTAATGTTGATCTAATTTGATTCATTTGAATGGGCAAGATTTGCATATTTTACAAGGTATCATACCATCTGATCTACAGTAGTGTCATATCTCTGTTTTCTTCAATTCTAGGCCTTTGTCACTCTCGCTAGGGACATCATGACCAGACTAAACAGAAAAATGGTGAGAATGCTGATGTAGAAAATGTTTATAATCTTATCTAAGAAAATTGATACGCTTCAACTGCTCACTGACTCAAACACAGTAGTATGTTAATATTATTTAAATGTTGAAAAATTCAAGTTATGGAAAAAAAAAACGTATAAAATGTGGCTTTATCTCGGACACTAATGCTGAATGGATTCTTGTTTGCTTGTATCTTTGTGTTTAGAATGAGAATAACCCATCGGGTGGAGGAGGAGCAGTGAAAATCACAGAGAGTCGGTCTAAGAAGCCAAGCTTCTTCCGCTGCACTCTGCTCTAACCCAGCAACTCCCGCAGCCTCAGTGTGTGAATGACTTCAATCATTTCTCTATGTGCGTTTGAGCTCAGTGTGTGTGTGTGTGTGTGTGTGTTTATGCGAGAGTTTACAGTACCACTGGACTTTCAGCTGTTAGCTGCTGCTGAGAGCTCTGGACTTTAGTCTGCCTCATCTAAGGCCTGAAGAAAGTATGCTAGATAAAAGACTCTTGAGCTGTTCCCAAAACATTTCTTTTAAACCAAAATATCCATCAAACTTAACCCTACCTGGGCCAATCAAAATTTGATGTCGTCTGATTTGAATTTTGAAAACATTTTTTTCCCCTTTAACATGTCAGTAATTATACATGGACAATTTCTATAGATACATTTGATTTTAAAGTGCTTTGTTAGAGCACAGTTTAATGAAGGAAAGAATATAAAGAGATTACAGATCTGCCATTATGCAGTTTTTGGCAATAAAGACTGGACCTAAAGTAGCAACTGAAGAACCTGATGGTTTGACAGCTAAATATTGGTCAAACTGAAAGACATATATTATTTTTGTTGTTGTATGTTTTTTTTTATCTTCTTAAATTTGTGTTTAGTTTCCTAAGCAGCAATAAACTGTGGAATATAAAGAAGCGTTCCACAGGTTGTAGTCTTCCCCCTTTCCCTGACTTTTCGTTATTAACCTTATTTGTAACAGAGACCAAAGTAAAAAGAAATCAAAACTGTGATTAATATTAACAGTCAAAATTTCTCATTCTTTTTCGGTTGTAATTTCTCATATATTATATATTGAGCATGAAAAGAGAGCGAAAGAATGAAAAGAGAGAGCTTGGACACTTTTCCTAATGCTTGTTGAAGCAGCAGCCAGCTAGGCCCTGTATATTAGTATATACAGTATTACGTTTACTAATGGTATTATATTTTTATACGCAAGCATCTTATACTCACCACTTCATATAAAACACGTTAACCCGTGCTTATGTGAGATTTATTTGTTAATACTTATTTTTTTAAATGTATTAACTGTCGTCACAGTATTCTGTACATTGTCTTTTTAAATTCCCTCTTTTATAAGACTCTTATGAGTATGAAGTCATGTAGTGTTTACAGTAACAACACTGCAACAATATCTTTTTTTAAGTCATGCACTGTTATCTGTGTGTGTGGGTCTCTCATAGAGCCTCCTCACTTCATTAACCACTTAAAGTCCTGCTTGTGAAGTCAGCCACTCAAAAAAAGAGTGCAAGATTGCACTAGCTTGATTGTGTTCAAGTTTCCTCTGAGCTTATTGGGCTTTTACCAGGCTCAAATGGAACCTGCAGTCTCTTATCGCTGATTTTTTTGGGGGAAATCCATTGAAATTCTGCTGAATGATTTTAAACATGGTCAAATTTGTTAACCAGAGCTGAGAATGATAAACTCTTATTACCTTTGAGCATATCAGACGTTAAATTTCTGCGTAAATCTGCTAATTTTTCCATGTACAGATTCCATGTGGGCCTGTTACAAATTCAAACACAAAATTTAAGCTGAAACTACAGAATCTACAAATTTCAGTATTCACAGTCGCTTTAGTTACTCCGAATGAATGATTGATTCTACTGTTAAGTTTAAGGGTGTACGATTGCTCGAGTTCCATTGGCTGTTTTGTATCTGTTTGAAAGAACCGCTGCTCGGAGGTGTGCCATATCCATTTAAAGGGATAGTCCATCCAAAGTAAATGATATATTTTTCATTTTTGGATGAGCTATGCCTTTAATGGCCCTGTAGTCATGTTTTGAATATGCATGCAGGCACATTTGCATATTTTTCAATGAAACAGTGACAGCACTCCACCTCCCATATGAGCATAGTCTTACTGACTATTCAATGCAAACTTTTATGTGCTATTTTATAACATCTTCCTTGATTTTCTTGTCTGTTCTATAATATGTCAGAGTGTCTGTTCTATGATGTGTCAGAGTTAACTGATTATGTAAAAAAGATTAAAATATCTTTTCTAAGTTATTTACATGTGCCCGATTTTTTTTTTATGGTGCTTTACCATATAAGACAATATATGATTTATATTATACTTTAATATTTTTCTGTTTTGTTTGGAATAGGAATTTGGAAAGAAGTTAAGTTGTTGAATAATTAAACAGCATCACTGAAAGTTAGAGTTCCCTTTATTTAGAAAAATGGGTTATTTAATATCTACAGCACAGAGGTAGACCCTTATTTCCCTTTTCATTACCAGGTTTTATTACGTACCTCATAAATATGAAGGAAGTATGCCTTTCTTGCTAAGATGTCCCTTGCATGAGCATAACCAGTGTTAGTTAAGTGTATTCCATACTGGAAAATAATAAAAAAAAACAACACTTTATCCACTTCTTTAAGCTTGCACTCCTGCGATTACCTTAATAAAATTATGTCTCTCTGGAGGGTCTGTAGTCATTGGTGTTGACTTCAAAGGCCCCAGCCAGGTCTTTCACACTACTGGCTGCGCGAGGTTTATCCAGGATGTCCCCTGCAGTCTTCACCTTTCGTGGATTGGTGTTCAGACTCTTAGATCTGAGTGAGGGGTACATCCTGTCCTCTGATACATACAAGTGATCTGAATCTGTGGGCTCTTCTCTCTTCTCTTCTCCCCCCTCTATTTTGATGCTTTCGCTATTTGCCTCAGTCTCATTCTCGTCATTCCTCTTCAAATCATTTTCTTCTTGTTGGGTTTTTGTCCTCTTGCTCTCCTTTGAAGCTCCTTCCTTAACTTGGTCCTCTATCGGTCTTGATTTCTCTGAAGATGTCTTGGGTGAAATGCCGACTGGGGAGGGATGAACTTTGTAATCGGAACGTGGAGGCCAGCGACCTAGCGTTGGCGATCTGCTTGCTTGATATTGTAGGCCGTGTGGCTCCGAAGCCCATGTGTTTTCTGAATTTCCCAACCTCGACTGGGCCACAGAGACATACAATGTGCTGCTTTGGGATCTGTTCCCGTACGAAAGTGAGTTACTTTGAGTTTCAGTTGGGTGCTGCCTTAGGGACTGCGCCCTTTCCAGAGGATGTGACATTGCAGCATCGATCCTAGCTTCTAGCAGAGCCTGTGCGTCTTTAGGGATATGAGTGGAGGTGAGTTTTGGGGATTGAGAACTCTGGCCTCTACCTTGTGATTCACAGGGAGAGATGAGGATGTCCACACTGGAGCTGGAGCGTGACCTCTGCCGAAGGGGGACCACTTCCAATGTGGGACCGTAGGATGAAACATGTTGAGGATTTGGAAGGAGCTCGCCGCAGCCAATACTGCCACGATTCTCTGTTTGGCCCTTCCTCTCCCCTGTCATCTCATCACCACGGTCTTCAGCATCCAAGTGCCAGCGGTACAAACTGTAGCCGTCAGCACTATTGACACTACCGTGACGAAGCAGGCCGGATTGGTCGACGGTCACTGTGCTCCCGGATCGAGAGCGGACCAGCTCGCAGCGGTCGATGCCAGCCAGCCGCTCCAGCGCGTGCATCATGCGGCCAGAGAACTCCTCTAGCTGAGCCAAGCGCAAGTCTATTGTCTGAAGAGAGGCTTTCATGGAGTGCTCTCGTTCATTCACCTCCTCCAGGCGCATGGACATGTTCTCGACCCTGGAACAGCAAGAGTTTCAAATGGTTGTTGTTGTTTTGAACTCAATTGACCTTATGCATAGCTGCACTACCTCCTGAACTTATGCCAGCTCCTTGTTTCCTGTCTGCCATTATTGGCCGAACTTGATTAATTCAGGTGTGTCTGATTATTGTTGCCGTGACTACTGAGGTCAGGCACACCTGGATTAATCAATTTGTCCAATAATGACAGACAGGAAACAAGGAGCTGGCTTAAGTTCAGGAAGTAGTGCAGCTGTGCATAAAGCCAATTGTTATTCTAAATGCAGGGCTCAACAATAAGAAGGGCCTGCTTGCCCAAAGCCAGTGTGCGAGAGTTCTGGGCTAACTGACAGACTTGTAACTCGACCTTTTGGGTCAGTGCTACACTAACAGTGAACATTTTACATTCATTAATTCAGTACATCCATTTTTTAAATCTTTTTAAACTTAAATGTTTGGATTTCTGTGATATATTCTACATTGTTGTTGCAAATTATGCTTATTTGTCACCAAAAGAAAGTTATCAATCTGTCTTGAAAGCATTAGTATGGGTCTAATGCACAGAATGCACTTTTGCACTCTAGTTAAAAGCTGTTCATGTTTTTTTAAAACACATCTCAGGACCGTGCTTTTTATTCCTTTCCACTATTCGCGTCTAGAGTTTTTCAACGGCCCAAATAAAATAAAAAATTGCAGGGTCGGTTTTTTTTTTTTACTTTTTTTTTTAAACTTATATTAACCACATATTTGCCTCAAAATACAATAAGAAAGCAGTGCAGTGTTAAAACTACATACCAGACAATAATGTTTTAAATTGTATGCCATAGTTAAAAAACTGCAATATTCATTAAATATTTATGAATATATGGAGTTACATTTTAATTTCCAGATTAAAAAAAAAAATTAGTAAAAATTAACATTTAAGAACAATGCTAAAAAATAAAAATAGAAAATAGATACATTCTGAACCGCATAAAAAACTTGTTGAGCCCTGAAATTACATTTGCAGGTGCAGTTGTTTTCCATCCAGTACCTCTGGGAAGTGATTCGGATTCGCTCATCATTGGAAGAATGCGTTTCGTCCTCCTTCTCTCTAAAGTACTCCTCCACACACTGTTCCTCAAACTCATACAGACCCTTCAGTTCCTCCAGACTCAGAGTCAACTCTGAAAAGAAAAAAAAGATGATAATAGCCAGTTTTAAAATAAGATGCTATAACATTGATAGACTGAGGCAGTAAAGGAGTAACAGGAGTAATAACTCAGCCCGCGGTCTCTCTCGTCCAGCTCCCCTTCTTGTTTCTTTCTGCAGCGGCAGCACAGGCGCTTCAACACAATGTACATGTGGCTAAAGATAATGAGAGGAGGAGGAAGCACTGGTCTGTCATGGAACGTCATGATTAGCTGGTAGCGCTGGAACTTCCAAATTTGGTTGGAGATGGATTTGACTTCGAAGAACGTGTTACTGTGAAGAAAAATGAGTTCTCTTGATGAATTGATGAATAAATGAGAACATAATACAGTGCTATGGCTCACATCACTGCTTTATGTTACAGGGTAAGCGTTATATTTAGTCTTTGACTCACTTGAATACAGCAATGAGCAGGTTGACCAGTAGGATGTTGGCTACCAGTAGGTAACAGGCCATGATGGCAGGTGTGAGCCAGGCTCCGGGTATACATGGAGGGAGCTTTTTTCCATCTTCATCATACAAATTTTCACCACAGGGTGCTGTCATAAATAACAGAGGTTAAGATGCAACCATGACGTGATTCTACAGTGTTTGATCATTTAATAAAAATACACTGAATTGTGGGTATAGTAGAAGAATTTTACACTCACGATTAATCTCCATCGCATAGACTAAGAGTATGTAAAAAAGAAAGAGAGAGCACAGATAAATCTGTTTTTATCATTTCACAATCAGCCAACTATACAGTATGTTGGAAATATCTTACAGCGCTTTATGAAGATTAGTTAAATAGTTTTTCAAGTGAAGATAGAAAATATATATACCACTGTTCAAAAGTTTTTGGCCAATTTTTTTTACATTTTTTAAAATAAATGAATAATTTTATTAAGCAAGGATGCTTTAAACTGATCAAAAGATTTAAATTTCAAATAAATACTGTTGTTTTTTGCTTTCTATTCATCAGATATTAGGGGGGGGGGATCACAAAAATATTAAGCAGCACAATCATTTTCAGCATTGATAATGCACCAAATCAGCATATTAGAATGATTTTTGAAGGATCATGTGACACATGATACAGCTTTGCCATCACAGGAATAAATTTCAGTTTTAAAATATGTAAAAATGTACAAAAATATTTCACAGTTTTTACTGCATTTGTGATCAAATAAATACAGCCTTAGTGAGCATAAGACCCCACATTTTTGAACGATAGTGTACTCCATTTGCACAATAATTTAGTTTTAAATTATTTCATAACAATACTTTCACACATTACTGTACAACTACCATTTTGTACCAAATATCATTTTTTTCTACATTTATTCATTTAGCAACTAGCAAATGAGAATATACTAACAGAAGAAATGTAACCAAGGGTTATAACAATTAGTGCTACCACACATAAATACCAGAGTAGCATAATGCTTGAACAGAAATGTAAAAGTGAAAAAAAAAGATCAGTCAACAACTACGGACAATTAGAAGACACAGCTACAAACCTAAAACTCACAAGCAGGGTAGGTAAAGACCAGCATTGTCACACACTCAGTCCATCACACATGATTCAGTAGAGGGCGAAAGCAGCAGTGTGAATGGTCATATGATCAGGAGATGAGATACAAATCTTTCTGCAGAGTTCACAGATACAGAAAGGGTGGAATGGAGACTAGACGCATCATCCACACATGAATCAGGAAACAGAATCTTACTATGAACTCTAGTCTTACGGTCTATCGAGTCAGCAAACACTTCTCCATAGATCATCCAGTAGGGCATGTAGAAGATATTCCTGGCCAGACGCCACGTCGGCTCCTCGTCCGGGTGCAGGATGGCCTGACGTGCCACGCCGAAGCTCATGAGAACCACCAGCATGATCACCACAAAGTACAGCATGTCAATCATCTGCACACACATCAAAAAAACACCATTGTTGTTAGTAAAACAAACAAACAAAAAGCCACTCATATTCAAGTTTTCATGTGAGTTCTCACCATTTTACCAATCATCATGACATACGGTCCCAAATACTTGTTAACTCCAAAGATGTCGAGGACACGAATGTACCAGAAGATGATGTCCACGCAGTAGATGACGCGTCCGTAGCCCAAGTAAGGCTCATTCTGCAAGCGCAGTAAAAGTCCCATAAGGAATGTGGTGATGGCAGCCAGGTCAGTGATATTCCAGTACTCTTCAAGCCA